ATGTGTTGAATAGTTTGTTATCACTGAAGTTCATCTGCGTTAAAGCTAGATGTATCGAGAAAAGACTCGCCATGACAATACCAACTTTCATAATTACGTAATTTGGCCTGGAAGCCTCGCTCTCATGAATCGTGAACCAATCACCTTGCGTAATTTACTAATGAGAGCGAGGCTCCAAGTCCAAAAAGTATGTGTGACGTAATTATCGAAAGGGTGTATTTAAGTCATTTAATGAGTTTACTGTCGAATATGCGCTGCATACCGCTTTACTCTTGGTTCCAAATCCACAAGAAATTTAATCAGCAAGCACACGACGCGTGCACACAGTTAGATAAAAACGGGACCAGCTAAACGGAGAGTTATGAAGTGGAGAGTTATCTTGGAGAGTTATGATTTCGGAGAGTTATGTTCGAATCACGCCCACTTTTCCCAACGACCATAATCTCCCGACAACTCTCCCGATGTTTCCTTGAACTGACATGAGAGAGTTATGTTTGACGTAACTCTCTCTCTCGTTAACATTATGAAGATGTTAGAGACTTATAATTTTTTATAACTCACCGCGTTCGCGATTGTGGCAATGCCAACGAAGAGAGGTATGTCTATAACTACAACGCTGGTGACTTTGAAGGACTGCGACGTGCATTGAACGCAATCAATCTGACGTCTCTCGTTGAACATGCCATAGATATCAACATCGCCTGGCAACAATGGAAAGGTGCGTTTTTAACAGCCGTTTCACATTATATACCGATGAAAAAGATCAAAGGACGCAATCCAGCTCCATGGGTTAATGGTACTATTCTTAACGCCATAAGAAAGAAAGACTCAGCTCGGCAAAAACTTAAGGCTTCTCCAAACAATTTTCGACTACAGCAGCAATTCAAAACCTTGCGATCTGAAGTCAAGCATATGTTGCGGAAAAGTCGGGAAAAGTTTTTCAACAATTTAGGAACTGACATTAAACAAAATCCAAAGCGTTTCTGGTCGGTTTTGAAAAGAAGCTCAAAGCCAAGAAACATCCCTGACATTATTTCATCCGCAAACAACGTCAACACACCTGGTGCTAATACAGCACAACGAACGGCGGCCGATAATCCAGATGGTATAGCAAACATGTTCAACCACTACTTTGCGTCAGTATTTTCAACAAAGAAAGCTAACGAGGAAGACGTCATTGAGTCTGACGAGCCAATCATGACTGATTTAACATTTAGTGAAGCCGAAGTTTCTTATGTGTTGAGATCACTTGATTCAAGCAAAGCAACAGGTCCTGATGGTATTCCTGCAAGACTACTGAGGGAAACAGCAGATGTGATAACACCTTCCCTGTGCAAGCTGTTCAATATATCAGTTATTTCAGGAACAATACCAGATCATGAATGTAAATTGGCTAATATTGTGCCCGTGCACAAGAAAGGTGACAAAGAGTATGCTGAGAACTATCGCCCAATTTCCCTATTATGTATTACATCGAAAGTTCTGGAACGCTGTATCCTAAACAACATAAAAACTCGTTTGTATGATGCAGTTAACATGTGGTTCATGGCCGGGAGATCTTGCATATCAAACCTCATCGACACTCTTGACTACGTTGGATCGTGTTTAGACAGTGGAGGACATATAGACATGATTTATATGGATATGTCAAAGGCATTCGACAAGGTCGATCATGATGTATTAATACGAAAGCTGCAGAAAGACTGTGGTTTTGGAGGTAATCTCCTCAGATGGTTTCGTTGCTATCTAGAAAATCGTAAACAACGCGTTACAGTGTTAGGAGCAATGTCAGACCTACTTCCTGTCACGTCTGGTGTACCGCAAGTTCAATACTTGGTCCAGCATTGTTCCTCCTCTACGTCAATGATCTGCCAAGCAATGTGAAGTCAAGTCGTGTTGCAATGTTTGCGGACGATGCCAAAGTCTTCAAGGCAATACAATCGCCCAATGATGCAATAAAGTTACAGGAAGATATCACTAACTTGGGGATCTGGTCATCTGAATCTGGCTTACAATTCAACGAAGCGAAATGCAAAGCACAATCCATTACCCGTAAAACCAATCCAATCCCTACCACCTATTTTATGAATGACGCTCCACTAGCATCAATTAAGCATGAACGTGATCTTGGTGTCTGGATATCTTCCGATTTGACATTGAACAAGCATGTCAACGAACAGTGTGTACAAGCAAATAAAATGCTTAGCTACATCAGACGGAACACACGAACAATTAACAGCATTAAAACAAGAAGAACCATTTACCTGTCACTGGTACGATCACATCTTGGTCACGCGACGCAAGTCTGGACACCCCAATCTACCGAACTTCTGCTCAAACTAGAAAAACCTCAAAGACGTGCAACAAAATATATTCTTAATCTTCCATTTATCAGTTCAGTAAATTACAAATCCAGATTGCAAACTCTCCATCTACTGCCCATATGTTACTGGCATGAATACCTTGATATGATTCATTTAATAATAATAATAATAATAATCATAATCTTTATTTCTTCAAAGTAACTCATGGCATTACCAGCTCGTCCTTTGCCTTGCACGCCAAGACAACAAGATATACAAGATCGTCCACTAACACGAAAGGTGTAAAGTACGAAGTCCCGCGGTGCAAAACAACAACCTACCAAAGATCATACTGGATAAGAACCATCAGAACATGGAACACATTGACGGTCATACTTGACTTGAGTATGGAGAACTTCAACACATTCAAGTCTGTAATGCGAGAGTACTACCATACTGCATTAACGAACACATATGATTGTGATGATGTACGAACTTTTAAAACGATTTGCCCGAAATGCAATAGAGCAAGGACTTTAACGAACTCGATGAACTGTTGTTTTTAGTCTCTATGGTTTAATTGTTATTTGTGTTATTGATATTTGTCTCTTAACGTTTTGGGCCCGCAGTAATTGGTTTCAGGCTATTGCGGATACCCAACCATCAACTCAGTTTATGTCATTGTGTTATGTATGTATATGTGTGTATGTTTGTGTATGTTTCTGTACAGTAGTGATGGAAAAGCAATTAAATTAAATTAAATTAAATTAAATTAAATTAAAAACCTACCATATTTTCCATCTATTAACTCCAAATATGATTAAAGCTTTTAAATTTCGTGCGCAAGCCATTTTTAATTTGTTGGAAAAGACACCCCCCCCTGGTTCACAAAATTTGAGTTCGAGAAATTTTTTTCATTATTATACACTTATAAGTACCCAAAGAAGCTATATATATCAAAAACTGGATACTAAAAGCTGTTTTGCGAAATTGAGAGCAAATTCATATCTGTGAGTGTTCAGTTTTTTTTGATACACCCTGTATATACGGTCATTTAAGGGACCGGTCATAAAGTAACTACTAGGGTGGGCTGGAGTGATTTGGGATGGGCCATGGAAAATCTTTGGGCAGTTGCGATGGGCCGCCAATTTTTTTGTATGTCCACGGTTGGGCCTCCAAACAAAAACCCATGTCTACTTCAAATAATAATAAAAGTAAACAAAACTATCCAAATTATCAAATGCAAATGATGCTATTGAAGCCAGTACTTTGTTTTATACAACAACAAGAAGTGATCGAATCACAGCAAATACAACCAATTGGAGAGCAGCTCAGTATCGTAATTACATGGTGATGAATGTGTGTTGGTCAGTCAAGCTTGGTGAAATTAATTATGTATGTCAATACAGTGCCGGTGTATATTTACAATGTTCATACCTGCAAGTTTTTTTTATTATAAAAGTGTATTTTCCCAATTTAAATTGGGTAGGGGTGGGTCATGAAATAAAGTTGGTAAGATTAGATGGGCTTTGAAATTTTTATCTACATCCTAAGATGGATCACCAAACTTATTGGCAAAATTTGTGATATACCTCCAGCCCACCCTAGCAGTTACTTTATGACCAGTCCCTAATACTGTACTCTGTAGGTTACAAGGAAGATCGCCAGTCTGCAAAATAGTGATGCATCGATATCTATATCGGTAATTTTGTTGTTGATATTATCGACATCATCCTAAACATTACAAGAAAATATATTTCTAGACCGACCGATGTTGCTGTTATTTACCAGCTGAAGTCTATCCTAAAGGATTTATTTAATACTGAGATGTGGAATTGTAACGAATTAGAGAGATTTTTTGTGGTTTCTGAAATATCGCAAACTACAAACGGAACAAACAGTGTATGTAAACAATGCGGGAATCCCGAAACATCGAGTTGATTCGAGTTCGAGTTAGACTTCGAGTTACTTTTACACCGGCATTTCCGAATATCCCGGTAATTTCCGAACAACTCCGATCTTGTTTACTTCTTCGAAACTTGAAACATGTGTTATCACGTACTATACAGGGTGTATAAAAAAAACTGAACAGATTTGAAATTGCTCTCAATTTCGCAAAACAGCTATTAGTATCCAGTTTTATATATATATATATAGCTTCTTTGGGTACTTATAATGTAGAATAATGAAAAAAAATTCTCGAACTCAAATTTTGTGAACCAGGTTCTTCAACAAACTAAAAATGGCTTGCGCGCGAAATTTAAAAGCTTTAATCATATTTTGAGTTAATAGATGGAACTTTGTTGGGTTTTTAATTACTGTACAAAATTTCAGACAATTTGCTTTAGTTTAAGCTCTTTACCTATTCATTTTTTCCTAAAAAATCAGCCTTTCGCATGCTTAATTAATTAATGCTTTTACCTAATTTGCATATTGCTGACATATGCAAATTAGGCAAAGGCATTAATTTAAGCATGCAAATATAACTGTTTTTTAGGAAAAAATGTAAGTTTGCGTGAATAGTTAAAGGGCTTATACTAAAGCAAATTGTCTGAAATTTTTTACAGTAATTAAAAACCCAACAAATTGTCCATCTATCAACTCAAAATATGATTAAAGGCTTAAAGCTTTTAGATTTCGTGCGCAATGCAAGCCATTTTTAGTTTGTTTGAAAAGATACACCCCCTGGTTAACAAAATTTGAGTTCGAGAATTTTTTTTTCATTGTTATACATTATAAGCACCCATAGACCTATAAACATCAAAAACTGGATACTAATAGCTGTTTTGCGAAATTGAGAGGAAATCAATATCTGTTCAGTTTTTTTATACACCCTGTATACATGATTCATGAAGACCACTATTTATTTTTTATCAGTCAGAATGAAGCAATCTGATTGGCTGAGTAGCCTTTCAGAGCGGGCTGGTTTTTTGCATCCGGCCCGCTCTGAAACGCAACTGGCCGTTGTGAAATGCAACTGCCCCGAGTCTGCCTGCTCTGGTTTTTGCGGAAAAAAATGTAGTGAAACAATTTTTAAACGATTGAATTGCATCAAGCCCTAAAGACTTCATACTAAGCACGATGTACACCAGAATTGACAATATTTTGAGAAAAGTGCGACTGAAAGTCGAAAAGTTATTTGACATGTATAAATAAAACTTTCGAGAAAACTTTATATTTTTTTTAATGCTCATGTATATTCGGCCACTTAAAAGCAAAGAAATTACAGCTTATAACAAATATTGTAAAATAAATGTTTTCCCATTTAAAAGGAGGTTTAAAGGAGGCTCCCTACAGTTTCCAATATATATCAGTTTTTAAACTAAAAGCTATTTGAATCTAAAAAACTAATTTTTTGCACAAGCCATTGTTTCCTCTTATATAAAAAAGTAATTTTAACCCACAATCGCTACTCTTCATGTTACCATGACAACATGACGTCACCATCTATATGGCTTATATCAACAAAAAAGCCGTCCTAGCGGACAAATAACCACGGTGACCTACCTTTTTTTATTGCAGAAAATACATTGTTATGAATTTTTTAATCTTTTTTGAAATTTATTTGAAAATCACGAGTGTAGTTCTCGAGAAACTGAATTTCAGCCTTTCCAAAGGCTAAAATGCAATCTTAAAGACTGAAATTCAGTTTCTCGAAAAAAAAGATTCAAAACTTCATAACAATGTATTTTCTGCAATAAAAAAGGTAGGCCACCATAGTTATTTGTCCGCTAAGACGGCTTTTTTTGGTTGATATAGGCCATATAGATGGTGACGTCATGTTGTCATAGTAACGTGAAGAGTAGCGAATGTAGGATAAAATCACTCTTTTATATAGGAGGAAACAATGGGTTGTGCAAAATATTAGTTTTTTTAGATTCATATGGCCTTTAGTTTAAAACACTGACATATATTGGAAACTGTAGGGAGCCTCCTTAACTGCAACAGTGAAAACAAGTCACGAATATATTCTCTACCCATTTAATTGTGTCAGGCATTTTTCACTGATATAAATATTGTAAACAAAGTAAAAGTCTGTGTTTAAAAGAAGGAAGAAGGAAAAATAATTCTGCCCTCGGAAAATAGATTCTTTGAAATTGAAAATTTCGAGTAGTTTTATACTGTTAACGGAGAGCCCTTAATAACAATTGCATCTAACCACCAATGCCAGTTAACAGCGGTTTATCGCGGCCACTAATTGGTTTGTCTATTTCCTATCAACCGTCATCCTCTTTCGCACGAGCATCACTTAACTCTCCACCAAGTCGAGCCTCTTCGACAACGATAACACCAATAGAAAGGCCAAGATTCAGAGCCAACGATCAAATAATTAGTTTTTGGAAGAAATCATTCACAGAAAAAACCCTTGTGACCTCTGGGAAATTTTCCTTTAAAAATATTACTTATCGTACAATGAGTATATTTTTGTTTAACCCACTGTCGTATTTGCTCAATATTTTCTTCCATAAGTACCGTACTCCATATTGTTTTAATTTAATAGTTCCGTTATTTATACTCAGAGCAGCAACACAGCAATGAATTTTGGCGCAAAACTTTTCTATAAATTAACCAACCAATTTGCAAACGTCTGATCACTTGATGGGAGGGGCAATTACTGCATGGCGTTAAATGGTTCAATTTCAAAAAGGGTACCTTTTCGCGGGTTTTGTTAACGAAGTGGTAAGCGCGAAGGGAAATTTCCACTTTTCATAAAAAAGTAGACAACGTCAAAAAAGGTGGGAATATTGAGACAGCGAGCAAGTGATGGAAAGGTTAAAAATACTTTGGGTATTTTTTCTAAAAGGGTATGTTTTCTCACGTTGCATTGTGGCAAAACATTTCATAACATGAAAAAAGGTTGGAAATTCGCGCTAATCAACCGGAGTAGAGAAGTGAAATCCTGAAAGTTCTACAAAATTCTGTTTTCAATTTTCGGAATTTAGTGAAAATCAAAATTGCTGATTACAGCTGCATTGATTCGGTACAGCTGCATTGATTCGTAATTCCGTGCGTCTGTTCTCTAACAGATCATGGCTCTCACGCGACCAATGAAAGCGCATGAATTCTTAGGGTTATTATATAAATAGAATTCCAGCGGGCTCAGTAGCGTGCCGATCAATTTTTAATTGACACGATTGTGCCGATCAATATTTAATGGCACAATCTTTAACCAATTAGAATAGAGTAAATTGACTAAACGATATTAAAATATTTAAATCCTGCTTGACCACATGATGCAATGACGAATCAGAAACGAAGCAGCAGGTACGTTAATGGATATCGACAGCTGCTGTACCAACAAGTCATTTTAATTTCAAATTTCCTTCCTCACAAACTTTGCAGTGCATATACAATGGCGTGTATAAGAAAAACTACGGTTTTCTGCGTTTTATTTCTTGTTCTTTACGTCGTATTTTCCCAAGTAGAAGCGAATGAGTGCTCTTCTCACTTTGATTGTTCAGGCTTAAAGTATTGCTGCGACAGAAAGTATCCTGAAGACAATGTATGTCGGTACAGTTGCATTGATCAGTCTTGTATCTTCAATAACGACTGTGCCCCGGGTGAATCTTGTTGTGATTCTGATGAGAAATG